TTGCATTTGAATCTTAGGGTGGTCTTCTTTCTCTTGTTTTAAGTTCACCAGAGGACTTCACACTAAACCGAAAATAATTTTGTTACATGCCTATTAATTAATTTGTATGTTTTTAAAGCACCTTTTTCTTTCTGTAAATTTGTTGATTATTTTTCAGAATTTTAATGGTGACTATGTGTTTTCATGATTAAATTTTAACTGTATTTAATGAGTATTAAGGTTCAGGTACAGTTTAAGCCCTTTGTAATAATAAAAAAAAATAGGTGTTCCAAACATTAAAAAAAATGTTAAAACAGTAAACTGCTATTCTGATACTAAATTGAATACAGCATTTTTCCCTGTTGGGTGACTGAGATGGAAAGATCAACAAAATCTGGTTTTTGCCCCAGGGAATGAAATTTGGGGGAGCCAGGGCAAAAATAATAGTTTCAATAACAAAAGCTTTTAATCATGGCCATTCCAAATCAATCCCCTCTCCACACCTTCCTGCCACCCGTGAGGGGAGGCAGGTGCCTGTGTGTGCCCCATACAGCCTGTGCTGCCCTCAGGTCAGGGGCTTGGTCGTGCAGACCCTGGGCCTGTGGGCCTCTCAGTTGTCACTCCCTGTGTGTTCCTCAGCTTAAGCAGGTGCTCCCTAGATGCTGAGGTATAGCCCCGTGGTCAGAGCACAGGTTACAGAGCCAGATTTGGGTCCTAGTCTCAGGTCTGGTGCTTCCTGCTTGTGTAGCCTGAGCAGGTTCAGTTGCTACACCTCTCGGTGTTTGAGCTTCCTCAGCTCATTGCTTCAGGCTGCTTTTAAAAGGTGTCATTTAACAGGAAAATGGGGATGGGAGCTGGCAGAATTTGGATCCTTTTATATAGCTAGGCAGAAGTTGATGAGGGGCATGTAAATTGGTATAGCCATCATTATTAGTAAATTGTAACTCTTGACATTTCTTACACTTGACATAATAAAAAGAGCCCAGATTTAGAATCAGTCTGACCTGTGAGTGAGTCCTTGATTGACCACTTAGAAGCTGGTAGCATTTGGGCAAATGACTTTCTTTCAAACTCGGTTTCTTCATGTTTGTAAATGGGAAAAGTGATAGTATTTGACTTGCAGGGTTGTGGTGAATTAAAAGTAGTATGTGTGTGGTACTTTTGGAGCAGTCACGTTTGGTTCCATTCTGCTTCCATCTTTTATATAGTCTGTATATTAAAGGTAAGTCATTGATCTACATTAAGTAATCAACTATTTAAATATGTTGGATAGTAAGTGACAATGGCATTCAGTTTTTAAAATGTCAACTTGGTATCATCATGGTTCTTGTTATTTGTATGTCATACTGTTTGAATTTTGGACCTGGTTTGTTCTTCTTCTCCCCAGATGGTATATTACTTACGGTCATGAACTCATTTGGAAGAACAGGGAGCCTCTAGTGAAAATTTGGCATGAAATGAGGACTAACAGCCCCAAAAAAGGAGGTGGCCCTAAGTAAATGGGGCTGGACAATACTGGCGCGTCTGGTCTGTGCTGCCTGAAGGCTCAGGAGTGCGGCGGCCCTGGAGTGACCACATCTTTGCTCCTGCCTGGAAGATACTCAGCATCTAGCTTTCCCAGTATTTTAAACTGTCCCCAGAACATGTCTCATTAGAAAGTGAATTATGACAAAGTTGTGAAATAAAGGTTTATATCTCTATAGTTTGTAAACAGAGGGTGTGTGTCTCTTTTGAAGAGCACTAGTGCTGGCCTGGAATCTTGCTGTTTGTTGTTCTGTTTAACATGCGCCTGGACCTGAGGAGTATGCACGTGGAAAGGTCAGAAGTGCTTGGTGCCTTCTGGCACCTCTGGTAAACATTTACTCTTACTTACCTACCCCTTTCCTTGCTTGGTTGGCAGGTAAAAATTAAGAACATCTCTCTGGCATGGTCTGAAATAACAGCTGCAATATTTTCTAAATTTTTCCCAAGAAAGGTAGGTAATACTTTGTGGCAGTGAGTGTCTTATACAAAAAGCTATTTTTAGGTTTTGCTTTATAGGTTAAAATTATAGCTAGATTAAGAATTAGAAGGAAGTATTTTGGATAAATTCAAACTTGAATCTGAGCCTAATTACATCTTATATTGGAAAATGTACATTCTTTGAAGTGGAGCATCTTACTGACTTAGCAGACAGGGGTTGCTGTCGTAGTTTCACTGTAGTAGAACAACTTCTCATGATTGAGAATAATTTCTAGGAAATGCAATTTGAGAATTTAAAAGTTTTTCTTGAAAGGATTTATAGGGGAGTTTTTGGGTCTTTTGGTGATCTCAGAAGGTTATGCCAAATTTTGCACCTTGTGCTGTAGAGGGCCAGGCTTGTGCGATGGTGGGCACTGAGTGTTGGGTTTCATGATAATTAGAGGAAGCGGTGCCCACCTCACATGATGTTAAGAGCTAAATGGCAGTATGTGCCCAGCATCTAGGAATTGTTCAGCTGGTGGGTCTTCATCTTTTCCCCACCAGCCTAGACTCTTCCCTACTGTGAAGTACTGGTCATTCTTACCAGGCAGGGGATTCTATTCTAAACTAATGTCACTTCAAGGCAAGAGAATTTTTTTAACCTAGCCCTCATCCTGCCAGTAAGGAGCCAGGGTAGTTGTGTGCAGGAACCGCCCAAGGTCACACTGCTGTGCCTTGACCTTTTTGAATATGTAGCTAATACTAACAACCCTGTGACTTACAGATGAGGCAAGAAATGTTTTTCAGAGATGGGATGGGAGGCTGAGATCATATGTACCTTCCATATGGAGTCCAAAATGAGATTCATGTCTGTGGGGAGACCTGAAGGGCGGGCAATGAAGACATGTCTCCTCTTTCTGATTTGTGATGGTCGGAGAAGGAATGTTTAGAAGGTCAAGTATCTACCTATGAGAGGCCTTGAAGGTCAGTGTCCAGCTCCAGAAGCACAAGCCTAACTGTCCAAAGTTCTGGCAACTGTTCCTGCTCTCCTGTTTGCCTGCTGAGGTACCTTACTTCCTCATCTTGGCTTCTTTGCTGACCTGTGATCACCCCAAGGCCATGCTCCGCCTGGCTCATGTGCCTCAGCCTGTGCTACCTCTGCTGCCTTCTGCAGTGTGGGGTCCCAGAAGTGCAGCCTTAGCTCTCTCTCTCCTCTCCACTTCTGCCGCTTCAGTTATCTCCGTTAAGTTGTCTTCTGAGCTGTGTCACTCTGTACCTGGGTCTACTGCATGTCAAACATAGTTCTAGGTTCTGGATGTCACTGTGCAGGCATGTCAGATGTCACTCCTGGCTTAAGCCAGAAACTTGGGCCATTCTAGATTCCCTCTCTCACCTCTTGTTTAGAATCCAGCCCCTTCTGTCCACTCTCAGCACCTGTGCATTAAGTCCCAGTCCCTTGTCCCTAACCTGACTGTAAAGACTGTTCTCCAGCTGCTCTCTAAAATGTCCTGTACTTCTCCATATGGCCACAGAGTTCTGAAAACACTCTAGTCATTTCCTGTTGTCGCCTATGAAAAACTGCTTCTGAACTCTAGTATGGCTACCAAGGCCCTCTGTGATTCAGCCCTTACTACCTGTGGCTGAACCCTTGGGCCTTGACCCCTGCATTCCCACCCAGTCCTACTGTCCACCCTCACTACAGGTGGTGAGTCCAGGCCCCTGGCCCTCTTTCGGCTGTTGGAAAGCTGTTACACTGGTTTCCATGTCTTGTCACCCACTGCTCTGTAAACCTCCTGAAGGCATCTGGCATTATTCCAGGTACACAGCAATAGTAAGTGCTCTTTAACTGTTTAATTAATGAAGGAATCAAAACAAGAAGAGCTTCTCTTTTTTTTCCTGCAGGATGGAGTGTTTTAGTCACGAGTCTCCCGAGTGGCTGACCCATGGCCGTGGTGCATGGAGGTCACACAGAGCAGGTGGGTGATCTGAGCAGGTCTCCCAGTGTCTTCACAGAACGCAGGGCCGCTCTGCTGCTGCCTCAGGTCATGGCCTGGCCCAGGCAGCCGAACTGCTGCCACGTCTGGCAGTCGTCGTGTCACATCACTGTGCCTTCGAGCTAAGACTGGCAATGCAATGGTTTAGGAGAGGAGTCTCTCTTGACTGGCCAGGGCTGTACTGCAGTTCTTCCTCTGAGGTGCAGGCTGGATACCGTCCAGGTATATGCTTGAGATGGTGCACTGGGTAATTAATGTTTCCATAGTTACTAGTAACTGGTGTGCAGTGCACACTGAGGGCTTGTGTCAATTTAGGAAGGCTGGTGTGGCCAGGGATGGTCTGATACCCTGTCATGTCTGAAACAGACTGACCTTTAGCCTGGAGGATTACCTTAGCTCTGCATAGGAGGGAGAGGAACTTTTATAGCATAGCAGCCAAAGATTTGTGGCAGTTTTATAATGCTAAATCAAGCCTTTGGAGCCATGCTTTAAAATTAGGGATTTTAGACCTCAGGAAATGTCAGTTGAGGGCTAATGTCAATTCTCAGTGGAAGGCTGAATTGGTTGTCACGAATTTGGCATCATAAAGGCTGATTCAAACGCGTGTTCTCCGGGAAGTACAGCAGTAAGTCTTCTCTCTCATCCCCTCATCGCTACATCTTCTTGTGCTTCCCCGCAAGCTCCAAGTGTGCCTCGCACAAATCTGGCAGCCTGTGGGCGGGGCCCAGCACACTGTCCACTCAGTACCAGCTAGGAGTGTTTGCCATCCGGCCCCTGGCCTCTGCGAACCCAGGTTCAGTTTGTAGGATAGCACTTGGGGAACTTTGGATTAAATTAGGGAACATTCTTCAAGTCGGAAAGTGCCTCCAGCCGGTTTCAGTTCCTCCAGCCCCAGCCCCGCTTCTGCACCCCTCCAGCTCCGTGCGCACCGCTGGGCTGAGGCCCAGCCCTCGCTCCCTGGGTGGCAGTCCCCAGGCCAGGGGGCGGGGCTGCGGCGGCGCGGGGAGGGCCGTGGGGGCGGGGCCGCAGGCGGGGGGTGGTGCGGCCCGGGAGCGCGGGGAGCCGAGCGGCAGACGCCGGGCTGGCATGGCGTGGCCCTGCATCAGCCGCCTCTGCTGCCTGGCGCGGCGCTGGAACCAGCTGGACCGCTCCGACGTGGCCGTGCCGCTGACCCTACACAACTACTCGGACCTCGAGAACGAGGAGCCGATCCCGGGCGTTGCTCCCTCGCGCAGAGGACCCTCTCCCGCAGGCGCCCGGGACCCCGGCCGGGACGTGCCGCTCACTCAGTACCAGCGGGACTTCGGCGTGTGGACGGCGCCCGCGGGGTCCAGAGATGCAACGCAGGGGCGCGGACAGGGAGCAAGCAGCCGCAGGGCCAAGCCCTCCGCACCCCACTGCCGGGGGGTCTACGTGCTCCCCATCGGCGACGCGGATACGGCTGCAGTGGCGACCACATCGTACAGGTATGAGGCTGGGGGCAGGGGAGCGCATCATACCCAGACCCCGTGGTCCCAGGAGACTGAACCGCGGAGCCAGGAGGACCAGGTGGGCAGGAGCGAGGAGGCACCCGGATCCCCCATCCCACCCCACTTCGAGAGCTTCAGGCAGCCTGTGAGGTCACCCCTTTGACTGTCCATTGATGCTCTCTGACCAGACTTGGAGTCAGAGAGCAAGCACCTCCCTGACGGTGAGCTCACCACCTCACTCTCTGGGGCAGTCCTGTCAGAAAGGCCTGCCTTCGTTGGAGTTAAAAATCTTAATTTCCGTCAGAAGGGCCCAGCCATGGAAGGAGCACTCGCGGGCCAGCTGCCAGGGCCCTCCGGGGGCTTTGGTGGTGAGGACCAGATGCAAGGCTTCTGGGTGGTCCCCTCAAGATCCCACTGAGGGCGGCTGACTTGGCTCTCACTGACAGGCCTGTGCTCCTCTCATGGATAAGCGAGGGCGCTCTCTTCTTACTACAACAGTGAGACATAGTCACTGTAGAAGAACTGGAAATTACAACATAAAAAATTAGTATCCCTCAATCCTACCCCAAACTGGTAGTTCTTTCTAATCCTTAACATGCATTTGAGGGCATATCCATTTGTAATTCTTACATGGCTAGATTTGTAACTACATTTTTTGTTTCATGTATGTGGCTGTTGGTCCCTGTTACTGGATGCTCTTCTACAACATGAGTTTTAATGGATGTGTAGTGTTTTCTCTTATGGGTATATTAATATGGGTATATGAATACATTACCCATATATTGATATGTACCTCCAAATATTACCCTATTCTGTCATTAAGTATTTAGGGTGTTGCTAATTTGGGGCTATTAAAAACACTATTCTTTGATCTAGTTACTGCACATAGAGAAAATTTCACTACATGTAACTTTGAACATGAGGTGGGAGTTAAGGAGTAATAAGGTATATGTCAACAATGTACAGAAGATGGAAACAATGTCATTGTTCTACTGATGTATGGGACTGGTTAATTATAGCTCTGCCATAGAAGGGGCTAAAACAGAAAATGTCAAAAAAGATGCAGAACAGTATGTCTGCTACTATCTGTGTTGTTAAAGGGTTATTGATGTATACATATCTGCTGAAATAAGCGTAAAATGTCTCTGCATGGATGTGTGAGAAAATCGTAACCTTTAGGGAAAGGAAGAAGGAAAAGGAGTTGTAGATACTGCTTGGAGTAGATGGAGCCTGAGGGACTTTTCACTCTGCTCTTTTGAACCACTGCTTTGTTTTGGGGGGTTCTTTCGGTCGTGCCATGCAGCTTGCAGGATCTTAGTTCCCCAACCAGGGATCAAACTCATGCCCCCTGCAGTGGAGACGAGGAGTCCTAACTACTGGACCACTAGGGAATCCCTGAATCACTGCTTAAAAGAAAAAGAAAGTGTTCATGTATTACCTTTAGCAACAAAAAAATTTAGAGGAAAAAATAACTTAGAAGATCATCATTCTTACAGTTAAATCTTTGCTTATACCCTAATTTCTTCAATATGAATTCATACCTGTCGAATTAAGGGCCAAAAGGTATGAACTTTCCCCTTCAACTTAATTACTTTTAAAATCAACTGTTTTGGGGGAGGGGAAAAAATAATCAACTGTTTTGAGGTATAATTTCCATCTAGTAAAATCCATCAGATGGATGATTTTTGTATACACCTGAACATCACCACCAAGATCCAGACACTAGAACATCCCGTCTCCCCAGAGATTCCTTAACAGGCATGCAGGTTTTAAGGAACTTAATGAGGAGTGGCTGTTGCAGGGTGGTCTTGTGCTCAAGCCGAGCTGCAGAAATGGAGCCGGGAATGTGAGGGGCAGAGCACTGAGCTGCAGCACTGGTGCCCCAGCCAGGCGGTGGAAGGTGCTGACTGCTGCATGACGGGGCCCTGGCCCGGACCAGCTGGAAGGAGCTGACCAGTGACAGGCCTGGAAGGCCAGAGGTCCTGGGTGTGCCATGCCTTCACGTGGCTGATGTTCCAGGTATTGGGGGCGGGGGGGGGGGGGGCGCGCGGAGCTTGCAGGGAGATAGCTTCGGCTCTGGGAAGGACGCACTTTCTAATAATTAGAACTGACTGAGATGAGTAAGCTTGCATGGTGCTGAGCTCCTTGCTCACTGGGAGTGTCCAAGCAAAGGCTGAACTTTCAGAAGCAGTCCCTCACCCATTAAACAGATGGCGGGTTTGAATGTCCTGCTGGGTCCTTCCAGTTCCTGTGATACTAAAGGTACTGCTTAGCACGTACCAGACCTCAGGCTTAGGACATCCCACAGATTTATCTCCCCAAGACTTCACAATAACCCCATGAAATCACTTCAGTTCTTGCTGTCCCCATTCTATAGATGAGGCTCTGGCAAGAGGTCATGTAGAACAGAGTGGAGTTCAAGTGTTTCTTGCCCTAGATCAAATTTGTGCCCCCAAACAGGCTGCCATCCCCTAAGATGCTGCCTCTGAATTAGGTAGTTGCTTGACCTGTGTCTGGCAGTGGTTGGGCAAAAGTTGGAACTCACTAGAGCTCTCCTTTGTATAAAGGTGTATAAACTTGGGTCACTTGATCCCTCTGACCCTTTCCTCATCTGTAAAGCACAAATAGTAAGAGCTTGACTTGCCTGGGTCACCTGGCAGAGACACAGGACTGCTGCTGAACCTGGCTCTCCTGACCCTGCAGACTGACTTCTGAGACCCTCTACCTCCCAGCTCTACTACTGGTATGAGCAACTCCATCCCGCCTGCCTTCTTGCAAGATGCATGTTACCTAAGAAAACCATTTAAATAAATTCACAAAGATAATGAACAGATCATGAGAGCCCAAAGATATCAAGAGTACTCCTTGAGTACTGTTCAAGCTGCCCCTCTCCACCCCAGCAGGTCTCACCTCACCTGGCCCCTGGTCTCCAGATGAGAACTGACCTGCCTCACTCACTTGGCCAGGTGGGCAGTGAGACCTGCCCCCTGCCAGCCCCTCCCAGAGCCTTCTCTCCAGAATTGTGTGTGTGTATCAGCACTTCTGGCCCAGGTTCTAGCTCTGCCCACTTCTGGCAGTTCTCCTTCCTGTCATCTCTTTCTTTCCTTGGTGAGTCAGTTAAAGGGCTAACCGTCAAAGTGCCAGACTTGACTCCCACTTTTTCAAGTGCCCACCTTGAAGGCTTAGGGAAGTTAAGGGATTTGTTTGAAGTCCTGTTGGGCTGAGAACCAGGCCCCAGTATCCTCATACTGGGTTCTCTGCAATGCCCTGGTAGCCCCCTGCCCCTCAGCGGGAAGGACTGTGGCCCTTGAGTCCAGCTGAGGCTCACATGAGGTGGATGATGGTGGAAATTGCTTGGTGAGGGAGGCGCAGTTCAAGTTAGTCCTGTATTTTTATTATCTCCTGCCCCACAAAGTCATGGGGACTGCTCTAGCCACTGGGTCAGAGCAGTCCTGCTTGGGACCCCTGCAGCCACCCTGGGGCAGCTGGCTTGGGCTGCCTGACCCAAGGCTCAGCTCAGCGTGGGGACAGAAGGGCACGCCCAGGGGAGGACCTGCTTCCCCGGGAGACGCAGAGCAGCAGATGGCGCAGACAGCTGGTCTTTGAAACCTTGCAGCATTGGAAGCAAAAATGATCCGACAGAGCCTTGGTCTGATTCTCTTCCTAGTACCCAAGTGCTGACCATGGACAGACACAGCTGTACCACGCACACGGGGCCTGCCCAGTGGAGCCCAGCTGTGCTGCAGCTAAGGAGAAAAGGCTGCTTTGTTGACCTCAGGGCCTGAAACCTGGCCAGGGCCGTGGAGGGGATGATAGGCACGGACCCAGTCCGCATGTGGGTGCTGCCCCTGGCCAGCTGGACACTTTTCCCCTTGGCCAGGGGCTCCTGTGGGCACAGGAGGTCTCAGCTTTTTAGTAGGGGAGTTGATTAAAAAAAAAAAAAGACCTATTTCAATTCTAAGAGGAATTAGTTTTTGTCAAAAGAATGCAACTCTGAGCACATGGAGCTAGGCTGTGCCAGCCTTGTCACTTCCCTCCAGGCAGCCAGCAGCCCCTACCCCCATGCAGACCACCATCCCTCCCTGCTCCCGTGCATGAGTGCCCACGTGCACAGCGCCATGCAAAAGCCAGGTGGTCTTTACTTTCTTGAGATGGTCACTGTGATTTACTCTTTTGCAGGAGTTAATAAAACAGGTTATAGAGAACTAAACTAAACTGGGCCTCATCTTCCTCCTCAGTTGTAACCAGGGATGACCATGCCTTGTGCACAGTCCAGGCCGGCCCCTCCCTGGACCTAAGGGCCACCAGTGCCATGGGCTGGAGGTGAGCGACTCGCTGGTTCTGGGCTTCTAGGGCCCCTTGAAGTGGGCCAGAGACAGTGCAGGGAGCCCGGAGAGCAGGGCGGCAACGTGTCGTCTCCGAGGCCCAGCACTCACCAGGCTCTGACGGTTTAGGACAAACAGGATGCTGCTGTTGCCCGAGTTCTCTGCTCACTCCCAGTGCGGCGCGTGCCTGTTGCTCCCTGGCAATGTGGGAGAAAGTTTCTGGTGGAGCTGTTTGGGGTCCACTTCCTCTGCTAGTTCTGCCTCTGTGAGAAAGTAGCATCTGCAGCCAGAGCAGCAGCTCAGCAGTGGACACTGGCCAGGAACGTTCCAGAACACAGGGCAAGAGCCGAGGCCCGAGAGACAGCCAGCCCTGTGCAAGGCTGTGATGTGTTCTGTTCCAGACAGGAATTCCAGGCATGGACTGGAGTGAAGCCATCAAGATCCACGAAGGTGAAGCCCGCCAAAGTCATCACAACCCACAGCTCTGGATGGGACGGCAGCCCCAGGCCCGGTTTCCAGGTCAGTGGAAAGCTGGTGCCTGGCTGCGGGGGGGTGTGAGAACAGCGGCTTTTCTGTCCAGGTTAGGGACTAGGTGTCAGCTGTGGATGGTGTCCGATGGCACTGTGGCAGGGGCAGTGGCTTCTGAACCCCCGTAACCATCGCTCAGAAACTGAAAGACAAGGTGCTGCTTTGTTGTTAGCCACGTGTGTTCCCCTAGCACTGGCTTCTCTGGGAGCAGGGTGTTGCCTCCCTCCTAAATCCCAGCCTTACCTTTGACCACTTACTTGCTTAGTGCAAGCCTTCCAAGTCCCTGAGTCCATAGAGGAGGGGCTGGGAGGGAGGTATAGGGCTGTTCAGTTTCTGACTCAACCCAAAGGCTTCGGGAAGCAGAAGGTAAGGTCCATGTGGACACCCCCGACCCTTCAGGTTAGCAGTCTGGAGCTGCTGGGACAGGGAAAGTTGAGGAAGAGCTCCACTGATCTGTGGCAAAATTTCATTTTTCAGGCCCCTGAGGTGAGGAAAAAGTTTGCACCTAACCCTTCAGCCATCTTTCAGGCCTCGGCTCCCCGGATCCTCAACGTGTGACTGCCCACAGAAGAGTGAGCCGGGGATCAGAACCCACCCTCCGGGACTGCGGTGAGACCTCAGGACGGGACGGCCCTGTCAGGGGCGCCACGCCTCCGCAAGCCACACGGTGCTGCGAGCAGGACAGAGGCGCCACCCAGTTCAGCGCTGGGCCCCTGCCACCCTCTCCTTCCTTGGGAAGTGTGCGGAACGCTTCAGATCTTTTCTTAATTGCCTCTTTAGGGCGCTCTTCAGTTTTTAAATCTGAAGACCTCGATCAATTCTACTGTGAACTGAATTGGTCTCTGGGGGTTGAGGAGTATGGACATAACAGATCCTTGAAAGATCCAGTAACGTCCAGGCTGTATGATAATTTTATAATCTATGGTAACTAAAGGTAATGTCCTTGGATAGTCCCACCAGCGGCCCCTCACAGGTTGTAGAAGAAATCTTAGGTTATCACCTGCATGTGATTCATGATAATGCTAAGTAACCAGGAACAAAGTTTCCCAAAGGAACAGAAGAGTATCAATCATAGGGTTTCTTTTTTAAAAACATAATTTCTTTATGGCCAAGATGACCCTGGTTTTAACAAAACATTTCTTGGGATGAATGAAGTGCTGAGTGAAGGACATTTATCTTGTTGGTTTCTGAGCCCCACGTTGTATACTAACACCAGTTTCGTTTCCTTAGTGTACTGATGACTAGATGGGAACTACTATGTACTAAGAACTGGGAATGTCTTTGGGGCAAGGGTGGCCAAAAAGGCCTTAAAATGTCATCTCATTACAGGGAGCTCACTAGCTACCGAGGAACAAGCTCATTTTGGTTTTGGAAGTCCTTCTGCTGACTTTATCGATAAAAGTCCAGCCGGTGCAGCCACCTGGAACCAGCCCGGCTCTCCTCTTTGCAAGCAGCCCTTGAAACGTTTGTGTCCTTTTAGAGATTACAGGCACAGCCTAAGGACAGGTTTGGTAAGAAAACTCAAGGATTTCCCTTTGGATTTTTATCCCTCTCCAGCTCCCAAGTGACTTAGCCTGGTGAGCCTTTACTTTTGCCACAGGAGGTGGCGTTCAGGTTTCAGAAGCAGCTCAGAGTGGAGGTGGGGCCGTGTTTCCCGCTCAGGCTGCGAGGGGGCCGTCCCCTCAGAGGTGCTAGCTCCCAGCTCTGGCAGGCACAGCCTTTCCCCTCGTTCCAGCAAAGGAAATGATCTGAGAGAATCATTTAAAACGGAAAAGCAAAACCATATGCTTACACAAAGGGTTCTATTATTTCAGACTTCATTGGTTTGCATGTTAGATGTTCCTAAGGGAAAATAAACTGCCTGCTGGGCCTTCTGTGAGAAGCAAACAGATTAACTGTACAATCTCATATTTTACTAAAATGCAAATGTACTATTTCAGTTTCTTGTTAGTTTATTTATTTAATTATAAACACGAACGCCTTCTCATGTCTTCCTTTATCTTGGTAACAGGACTTTAATGTGCCTTGGCTACCGCTGCACTCCCTTGGAGGCATGTAGATTCTGGGAATGCTCACCCAGGGCTATAACTGCACTGGTGTCGTATGTAGTATTTAACAAGAACACATCTCCCCAGCCCCACCTAGGGTAAAACAAGATTATCCTTGAAGCCAGTCTTGGGCACAAACCTTGGTTCTCCACTCATTAGCTGACAGCAGTTTAGACTTTTGTTTGCTCATTTGCAAACCCTGCCTCCCCCTAAGAGAACTTGAGTTTCCATGCAGGGTGCTCAGTACAGTAAATGGCCAACAAAGCACAGCTGCTGTACGTGTTCTCTCCTGTGCAGGTACCCCTTCCTGGGAGCCGGCTTTACTGGAATCTGCTGCTTTGGTCCAGTAATAGTCCCTGTCCATCACACGGCATAGCCAGTTATGCCTCTCCACCCCCCAAGCTTGTCCTAGCAGCCCCATCACTGCCCAAGAGAGACCTGACCTTAGGAAGGCATCCTGCATGCTCAAGAACAGACAGCTTTTCACAAACATCCCAATGCAACAGCTTTCCTTACTAGACTTCATTAATTATTAGATCTGAATTCTGAAGAACCTTGCTCCCACTCACTCTAGGTCTTAATAAGGCCACTCCAGTAACATTATGTTAAGGCCTTAAGAAGCCACTGAGATAATAAGAGCCTCAACCGTGTGGTCCCAACTCATGTAGGTCATATAAATAATACAAATGAAGACAGAAACATACTGAAATATTAATAGCGGCTATCTTTGAGAAGGGGAACTATGGGTAATTTAAAATTTTGTACATCTTACAATATTTGCTAAAGTTTCTATACAGTATGCATTTTTGTATTAAATTAAAAGTTTAATCTGTTAGGTAATTTTAGCCAACAGAAAAGAGTTCAAATTAATTATTCCATAACCAAAGTTAGCACTGCAGTAGCAGGCTTGATCAGCTGTGAGGAGGCCCAACCAGAGGGAAGGGCCCCAGTCACTGAGAGCAAGACTGATGGCTCCAACTCAGAAAAACCCTAAACACTAACCATCCTTGTAATATCGCTAGGATTTTAGGTCAAACTCCAAAAAAGCAGCATTTGAGAGAACTTTGGCTGTGCAGCCCACCCCAGGCCGACGGGGGATCCTTTGAGCTCTGCTGGCCACACACACAGGCTCCTCCGGTGAGGAAGAGAGAGTCCCCGAGAAGGTACTGTGACACTGTCCTGTGGCTCCTGTCAGAACTGTGGCTGACACATAGAACACTCAGGAAACAGGCCTAAGCAATGCCCCTGTTCTTCCTCCAGACCATTCGACTCCCTAAAGGCTGATACTAAGTGAAGTCTGGTCCCAAGAAAGCTACATACTTGGATTGTCTCCCCAAAGAACTTCTTACCTTTCAAGAACCAGAGCTTTCAAAACAAAGCCTTTAGTTCTTATTAAGGGTGGATATAAATAGTCATTTCTGAAATATTTCTGCAGTTCCTGTAGTTTTTTCTGCGGTAGCAGATGGTCCCAGCAGGACCAGGTCATAAGAGTGACTTTTTCCAGGCCTCAGCAGGGACCCATTCTTGCCAAACGGACCAGTGTGCTTCCTGGTTGGACAACAGGAGCTGTTTCCCTCATTGCCTTGGCTTTAAGGAGGCTCTGAGCTCAATCAGGTTGTTTTCTTTTACCCTAGGCTGTCAGAAATCATATGTCCAGGGCCAACATGCATTCTTCCAAAACTCTTTCAGATTTTTATATAACCGTAATCCTTATTACTAGCTGCAAATTCTTTTTAGAAAGAAGTGGAAGAATTAAATACACAAACCCCTACACTTTTGCCTCGTCCCAGCTCTTTCTGACCTAACGTAAGAAAAACTCCACCCAAGTGCAGTGCTCCAAACTCAGAAAATGCAGGTTGCTCAGTTGTGTCCGACTCTTTGCAAACCCATGGACTATACAGTCCATGGAATTCTCCAGGCCAGATTACTGGAGTGGGTAGCCTTTCCCTGCTCCAGGGGCTCTTCCCAACCCAGGGATCGAACCCAGGTCTCCCGCATTGCAGGCGGATTCTTTACCAACTGAGCTATCAGGGAAGCCCCCAAACTCAGAAAAACCCATCACAAATACCAAAAGATTTACTGTAGATGTTGTTACATATTATGATACAAATACATTTGAAACATTAACATATATGAGGACTGTTAAATCATTTACTATTTCTTTTGCAAAAAGATAATTTCTTGAGGCTTTCCTACCTGTAAGAACTGAATCTGTTCTCATTTGGATCAAATCTTCAATCCTGTAGATCTAAGTCATCGTCCACTGGTAAATGAGTCTACACCTGCCCATTAACCTTGCCTGGAGTACTTTATGTACAGAATATCTGAGTCTTCACCACTAAACTATTTTATTCTTAACCAGAGCATGCCCGATGACTTACTGAAAAGATTTCCTTCTGCACTTGCAGTCCTCAGATGCTGAATTAAAAAGGGCAGATTTCTCACAGTTGCCTCCCTGTCTTTTCCTGAATTGAACATCTAGAGGACTCAGGAAAACATGAAACGTTGCTTGGCTAAGTTTCTTTGACTTGGGTAGGTTTCAGATCTTTGTGAAGCAGATTCCTAACTGAGAACAGATTCTTGACTCACACACGGACTATGTTAGGAAGGTTGGGGTCCTGTGTCTATACTGAAACTGGACATCGTGCAGGGTGCTGCTAACCTGCCTTCCATCCACTCTGTCTCCCACGGACGGGGCTCTGCTTACGACCAGCTTTCTCACTGCTTCCGAGCACTGACCTCCCTGTCACCTGGTTTTGACAGTCGTTTCTCTACCTTTAAGGCACTCACAAGTGTTTGAAATACTTCTCTTCTTGGGAACAATTCACTGACAGAGAAGAACTGGATAAGATGAGCTGTCTGAGGGACTGGGGGAAGCACTGGCCACTCAACATGGACTCAGCAGAAGCTCCTGCAGACCATGCCAACAGCAGGAACCGGCGCTCTGCTGGCACCTCCTCCACGCTGCGCGGGTCTGTGACCAACACAGTAAGGGCTTCCCAGCTGCAGTCAAACCTTTTCCTGACCTGTACTGGACTCTGTTCACCCCCCGACAATGCTGAGACTAGCGGCAGTACTCTCTTGTGTTCCATGAAACAGGAATTCTCAGTCTGCGGTCTCCCAAGCTCGTGTGGTTTCCGCACAGGATCACTGCTTCCTGAGCTGACTCGGGGTTGACAGCGGATCCTCCCCACCACGGCCACTGCTGTGTGCCGAAGCCCAACCCTCCTCCAGACGTTATCAGGGTAACTGTTGGGGTACCTGGAACGCCAACTAATAGAATGGGTAGAACCTCTAGTTTGCCAGACTCACGCCCATGGTACCCCCTGGAAACCACCCAGAGGACAAAAGGGCCCAATATAAAGTGGCTTGACCCCAGACTCTCATGGAGCCTGCACAGAGTGAATAGATGCGAGTTGACAGAGCATGCATCCACTCACAGCTTAACTCTAGAATCAGGAAACAAACTTCTGTCCTAAAGGGATTGACCTGGGACTGAATGCTCCGGTGGCATTAGGTGGAGGCCATGACACTCTGAGGCACACAGGAAACTATCTCTTCTCCAGAAAAGAAGAGTCATCACAGTTCCAGGCTTCGAATCCTGCTTTCCTAGTAGCATCTTCATTCCATTCACTGATCTTCATTCAGTATCCCCATGTGTTTGTTTGTGAGGAAGTCCAGAAAAGGAATGTTGCAAATGGCCTGGTGAATATTACTCACTGTAATTTCTTTGGGAATCCTGGTCCAAAAAAAATAAATGTTAATTCTCTCAAATATCTAAATTAATTATCTGGGGATAATAATGAGCGACAGGCATGGCTTGGGGCCACTCTAGGGATGAGGAGCTGCTCTTTGCCCTCTGTCCCCCCACCTCTCTTCTTTTCCATTAATTCCTTTGACTCAGGAGATGTGGCCTATCCTCTTCCTGGCCAGCCCTATTTAGGGCTCAAATCTAACTTCCTACTCATAGGCATGAGATGAATTTCAAGAAGTTGGCTGAATGATTAAGGGAAAACAAAGATTTTGAAGACTGGAAAAAAAGGAATGAAGTAGAGCAGAGAACAGAATATCGCTGTAGTTCAGTCTTAGCTGAATCAAAGCACCACAGAACTTGGGGACCATGTTTCCCATCTCTTGGAAATTATGCCAGTCCAAGTTGGGTGATGTTAAATGTTCTTATCAAAAGCACTCAAGTTGCCTTGTGTCTTCACAGTCAGGACCATGGTGGTGAGCAGGGCCACAGAGGCACTCGGCCCTCTCCTGGATCTCTAGCAGTACAAGCAGCAGCAACATTACTGGAACTCCTTTGTTCCCCACTTTTTGTAAAGAGCTCTCTATACTGCCCACTATGTTATATCCCTGTCAAGTCTGACCTAATAATCCTCTTATTTAGGTCTCTTCATGACCTCAGGTACTCTGTTAAAGTTTTAATAAATTTATAACAGCCTTTAAACAATAGAATAAATTTGTTTCCTTTGAAAGAAATGCCGGGATGTGGGACAAAAGGAAAATTCAGCATCTCAGTCAGTGACAATTAGGCCACAAAGGAGTGGTCAGCCTGTGGGTATAGAGCCAATGAGATTGAAGTTTAAATCTAGGTTCTATGATGTATTTGCTAGGAAAGCCAGGCAAGATAACATTTCAGAGCCCACTTTCCTAGGGACTATGAGTTCTGCAACAAAAAACAAACTAGGTAACGTGCAGTGCCTGGCCCCAAGTCTGAAACACTATTATCTTCAATGGCAAAGAATTGGTATATATTCAACCCTGTAACATATCAGAATCCTACCAAACTGTCTCTGCAGCGGAGACAGAGACAACACAGACCTCTCATAACCAAGAGATAGACTCAGGGGTCTGCTTGGTCATTTTGAGACAGTCTGGGCTCTGAGAATGTCCCAAGCATGGATACCTCCAGCTCCTACTGAACTGATTTAAAGTACAAAATATCTTGATGGGAACTGTCAGGAAGTGAGAACTGTACCTGTTGTGTGATGCTGCCTGGTATCCAACTGCCAAAGCCTGTCTCAGGATGTCACTGACCAGCTGCTCTGTAGCCTATAACAGAAAATGCTGTTACTCTAAAAATGCCACCTGCATGCTGGTCAGAAAGATGCAGCTGACCCCATCCCAGACCCTAAATTTGGGAAACCACTGTATCTAAAGACCCAAAGTCCTTAAGGAAAAACTAAAGGTTTGAATAATAGACCACAACTATAGAGGCCATGATTCTGAATTGTGAAGGGGGTGATTTTCATTAATCAGACACTGCTTTAATAAAGGAAACAGGTGAGGGCTATTTGTGAGGTATCCCTGCCCCTGGAGGGGATCCACCAGGAAAGAACAGCAGAGCCAGGCTCCAGCTGAGTAAGGAACCTGGTTCTGTCATCCTGTTGCCAAGGGCTGGGACAGTTGTGGCTGTTTCTACTGCGACATGCAAGTCACCTCTGAAAGCACTGAGAGCTTTGACTTTCACTTCAGGCTACTTAGAAAGCACTTGAAATGGCATTAAAAAATACTGCTAGTGACACTGGCAAAGGAACTCTTGCAGATGCTTTGACACGCAGAGGAACTACAACTGAATTAATTTAAAAATAAGAAGAAAGAAATCACAAAGCCTGTCATTGTTGTTCCATTTCTGTCCCTGTCTTTTTCAAAGCAGCCTGGGATCCAGTGTGTCCTGCCCAGCTGACCCCATGGTGCTTCAGCCCCCGACAGCCCCTCTGCTGCCCACAGGCACCCACCTTCAAAAGCATGTCCTCTACCACCGACGCATACACGTTCTTATGCAGTGCCACAGGCTGCAGGGTGATCCCAATCTGGAAGAGCAAAAGAAGGCCTTTTGTTTCTATTTGTACATTAAAAACAAGCACATTTCTGATACCCAAGGAGACCTCTGGGTAGAAGAGACACTCTACAAATGTCCTTAACAAAACTCACGGAGAAGTAACACAGAATGTAACAAAGAGAAGAATCTGTTACCCTATTGTGCCATGTTTCTGAGGGATTGTTAAAAATGCTATTAGAATCCTTCTCTTGTGCCCAAATCTCCTTCATGAGAGAACATAGAATTTACCATGAATTCTGACAGTGAGAACACCACATTGGAAAGCCTGCATCAGACTCTGAGGCCCTATTTGCAAAAGAAAGAAGATATACTTGGAAACTGCCCCATTTTCCATTTCCTCTGTAGGGGATAAAAAGAACAAGTCTCTCACTTGGGTCCCAGGGAGCCATGCAGATGCTGCAATGAAGTTTCGTTCCACCAGAGGTGGGTGGACATTTCTCTCCTGCACCCCAAGGGAGTCAATGCCACACCCACTCCCTGGCAGGGCACTTGGGAGCTATTTACAATGTCAGGGAAAGAACGTTCTAACATGCCTCTGAAGGAAAGGTGCTTCTACTGAGGCAAATGAGAAAAAAGGAGATGAGAAATACGAAGCTGCCTTTGCTCCAATGTCATGTGATGAGCAAGCTCTACATGTGATTCACTTTCTTGCCCAAAGGCCCTGACGTGGGAAAGCAGGTGCCAGACAGTTCCCCCAGCTTTACCATCTATCTCCCCAGGATGTCTGGTGTCAGTTTCTAAGACACCGAGGCCCGGGTTAGGGATCCCACAGCACAGGCCTTAGCCCACTACCTTCTGTGTGATGTCGCCAATAAATTCAGAGCCTGGTGTTGGTGGCAGGTAGAGTTTCATCTCTTCCTGTTTCTCTTCCTGTTCTTTCTTGATGTTTATCTTTAACGGCTCTGAGACATTGAGGATGTCCACCTCCTCCTCGTTCTCCGGCTCTCTCTTCTGAAACTGCTGCAGGTCCTCCAGTTTCTGGCAGAGGTTGTCAGCTGACGAGAATGATGACGGGCACTCTACATGAGAGGTAATCAGTCTTATGACTGTGGTGATCAAAGAAAAGGGACTTTGCATCTCCAAGGGGCCAACAGCCTGAGACCCAGAGAAGAAGGGTTAAGTATCAGGGAGCTGACTTCCTGTCCAGTTCTATAATTCCATGGACCTATAATTATAAGAACTAGTAATTCATAAGTGAGACAAGTACCAAGACAGGCATTTGTGTTAAGACCTATGTGCTATTAAGGGCAACCTGAGTCAAACAGCACATAATTCTGACTCTTGCCACTAAAAATGAGGCCATCCTCCCACCCCACTGATTAAAAAAATTTTTTTTAAACCTGGAGAATTTAGAAATTAACAATGAAGACATTAAAAATCACCCATGTTCTGCTTAGAGCTGAGTACTACTACCATTTTAGTGTATACCATGCATCCCATCTTCAGCTGATTTATACAGAGCCCAACAGAGTATATATAGAGATTTAAAGCCAGCAGGGGCTCTGGGAATGTTCTATGCATCCCTTTTACTTTATGATAAGTGAGTGATGTCGACATGGGGTTAAAGACACCCAGCAGGATGGAGGCAAAGCATCCAACTCCCTCTGTTTTACTGGCAGGATGCTCACAGATTTAATCAGTCATATTAATAAGAAAGCCCAGTACAGGAAAAACACAGTTTTACATACACTGCCAGAGAAGCACAGAAATAATCAACAAGGCCTCTGCTCTCAAAGCGCTTAGCAATAAAAATCTGAGAAACCTTCAAGGTTTTGGTATTAAATACCACTGGAGATCGGGGAAAGGAGAGGCCACCCTGCATTAGGGTTCTCAGGAAAGCTTCATGGAGGAAATGAAACTTGTGTTAAGTCTTAAAGGACCCCCCAGACCGTCCCTGTGCTGTGGCCTTCCTCAGACTGGAAGGTGAAGGGTCTGTTTTTCTACAAAGATGGGGTTAAAAGGAGAAAACAATACTTTTTCTTTAAGGTGAAACTCAAAACATTCTCCCATATATCTTTATGCCCAGCTCCCCTGCACCCCCACCCACATACAGTTATTTGTATTTTTATAAAAAAACAATTCATTTTATCTGCAACATTATTAGCTGTTTACACCTAATGTGTAAACACCTGTGCCTCCAACACCAGGCAGTGCACCTCCACACTAGGTTTCTAGAGATAAAATAACAGATAAGACATTGTCCTGGGACACCTGGGCACAAACAGTTTGGTAGGGACTGTCCTG